CTTCAGCTTGCCCCTCCTCTGACCCCATTCTGCTGGCATGTTTGTAGCCCTAACAGTGCCTGTGTTTGTGTGGCACCCCACAGCACTCTTGAAAGGATCTCAAGAAACCTCAGGATGCCACAGTATCTTGGTTGAGAATTGGTAGTCTATATACCATGTAGTGTTTGAGTGTTCCAAGAATGCAGAACAACTTGGCACAGTATAGAAGTTTAAAATTTGGCCTGCAATCTCTAAAATTAGTGTGTTCTTTTCACATAGTAAGAATAGGATTTGTATATACAAGATTCTTCTGACTTTCATGCTATAGTACATAGGCTCCTTAAATGAGTCCTTTAATGTGCTCTGTACACAAACCAAACTGTTGTAGTCAGTCAGTCCCACTTCAGAGGGTTTCCTCTGAAGCTGTCAGAGCAAGAAGCAGAACTTGAGAGGAAATTAACTTGTACCCGATGATGTAACAGCCCAGAAGTGAACTGAGTGACATAACCAAGGGTGAGAATTGTTGTTCTCAGATATCTAGATCAGAAAGATGGTGACGCCCTAAGAGGAAGCCAGCTCTGACCATGCACATTTAACATGTTAATTAGTCTTGAACTGCCACTAGAAGCATAATTTGAAATGCAAAGGGATGCACTTGCAGCATTTAGCAGGATTGCAGGGAGAAAGTGATGTTTTGCAAGTCTGAATGGGTTCTCAGGGGGTTCTGATATGAGGGATAGCTGACTTGTGTGACAGGGAGGCAACTTGTGGGCTAATTCTGGGAGGGTGGTAGTGGTTTCTACTGAAGTTGAAGTTGTATCTTCTCTCATCTTTATGTTGTTCCAGATAATTGGGACCCTGGAAGAGGTTCATATGCCACAGAATGGAATCAACCATCCTGGCATCACAGCATTGGCCCAGGCCTTTGCTATAAACCCATTGCTGAAGATTATCAACCTAAATGACAACACCTTCACAGAGAAGGGAGCTTTGGCCATGGCAGAAGTGAGTTACTCTAAATAAATATTTGTATTGGGTGTTTTTTGCTTCTGACTTCCTACCTCCTGTGTATGTAAATAATGACAGCCACTTCTTGGTGGCCTTGGGTCCAATGTCATGTTGAAGGCACAGTGAGAGAAGATGCTGTTTCCTGTTTGAGTAGTGTGAGCGGATGCTTGCTTTTACCCATCACATACTCCACTCTGATATGCATGCGCGCTCTCTACTTTTTAGACTCTGAAGACTCTCCGGCAGGTAGAAGTGATCAACTTTGGAGACTGCCTGGTGCGCTCAAAGGGTGCCATTGCTATTGCTGAAGCTGTCAAAGAAGGGCTCCATAAATTAAAGGTACCACCTTCTGTTACTCCACCTTAAACTCTCTTCACCGGACAACATGTCTTCCTCTTAGTGTTATTCCACAGACTACTGGACAGAACTGAAGTTCTCCTTCAGTGATGCAGGAAGAAACAGTCTATACGTTTTGGTCCACTTTTCTGTCTCCCTACAACTGTGAACCATTTATTGGGACTGTTCTTGGGGATCTTTTGACTGATTGTAGCTCATTGGTAGGGGGATGACAGCTGTCAGTTAAGTAATTCCTTGGCCAGTCACTATTACTTGTTCCTTCCTGTTGACCATGTTCCCTAGTAGAAATTATTCTATGTACTTACAAAGAAAAATGTCTTCTACTTTGCATCTTCTGACTATAGACAGCCACAGTGAAAATTGAGGCATCAGTCAAATAGCTTCCACCATCAATTTAAAAAATTATCACTCTATAGAGAGAAGAAATATAGGTATGGTGCAGGCATTGTAGGGTATATGGGCAGCAAAGTCTTGTTGCCAAATATCAGACTAGATGAGCAAAATGTTCCCTTCTGGCCTTTAAATATGAATTAATCTTTGTAATATTTAGATCTTTGCTAATTTGTAAGGAATGAAACAGCCAGTCTCCAGAAGGACCCAATGCTTGTGAAAATGATAAGCCTTCAAAGTCAGCAAGTAAAGACATAAAAGCAAAAATCCATTTGTTCCTATACTGGCGAGAAATTTCTCTGATTCCTGCATATGAAATTCCAAGGTCATTTTAAATTAAATGGTCTTAGTCCTGAGAACATCCCATTAGGATCACCTCTTTCCAGTATGCTCTATTACTGGGCAAGTTTGCTTACAGAATCTCTATACGGTGTCTTTTGCTTCTCAGGAACTGAACTTGTCCTTCTGTGAAATCAAACGAGATGCTGCCCTAGCTATTGCAGAGGCTACTGAAGATAAGTCAGAGTTGGAGAAACTGGATCTTAACGGTATGCAAGTGGTGAAGTTGAGAAGTTTCCTACAGAACTGAAACACTATTTGCCTGAATCAAAGATGACTTTAAGATCATTCCCCTAATAATTAGAACCCATACATGGAGAATTTATAACGTTTTTGTTATAATCTTCCACATATAGAATATAACTATTGGAGGGGTGTGTCTTTTTTTTAATTTGTCTTCCTCTTTCTCATCCCCAGCCACTGCAGTGGTTTGGGGGGGGGAGGGGGGGGTGGCAGGTGAGTCAAGTGGCCTGACCCCTGGCCTTTGCTGCGCCCCCTCATCCTTGTGTTGGGTGTCTGTGTACCCATGCCACTTGCTTCCTCTTCCCACCCACCTGCACATTACCGCTTACCCTCAGTGATTGGTCCAACCCAGGGCACAGAGCACATGTTGGCTCCAGCCCCTGCCTGGCCAGGCAGCTGTGGTTACAGCAATGACAGCAGCAGCTCCTGCTCCAACCTGGTCCTGGGACTGCCTTTATGGGGTGACAGTGGCTCTGATTCCAACCCCAACCGTGGGTTGGGGCCATAGCTAGAGCTGACTTTATTATTATT